GCACTGACCTGCCCCTTCAAGGTCGCTGCGGGCCTCAGCCGGTGTCACGGGGCCCTGGGGCTGGAGGCAGAGGGGCGCCCCTGCAGACCCCGCGACCGCGGCATTCGGGGGTCAGGGACAGGGACCTGGCCCCACCTGGCAGGCGAGGAGCCCGCAGGCCCAGAGCAGACGCGCCGGAACCGACCCCTCCAGAAGGGGGGCGGGTGTGCTCTAGGACCGTACCTTTCCAAAAGGGGTGTACACTGCAGCGGACCGGCCCCTCCAAAACGTGGGTGCGCTGGAACCGACCCTCCGGAAGGGCTGCGCTCCAGAAAGGGGGCGCGCCCTCCGGAAGGGGGTGCCCCCCGAGCCTGCGCGGTTCCCCCAGCGCGCCCCCACCCCGCACCCCCGCCACACACCTGGCGAGGTCGGCTGGATGGCTTGCGCCGGGCCGGGTCGGGGCTGCCTGCACGGGGCGCGCTGCCGCGTGGCAGGCACAGCACTCCGAGGTCCATCATTCTAAACTCAGATGTGGGCCTCCAGGTCATTAGCGGGGTGTATTTGTCAAGATAAGAGGACAGCATGTAAGGCAACGCTTTGTTCTCTTGATTGAGGTGGGCAGTGTTTGCGCACAGCTCTGAAGGCCTGGTCCCCGAGCCCCCGCCCGCTCCCCGCCACCCAGGGCAACAGGCAACAGGCAACAGAGTGCCCACCCGGGACCCACGAGCTCCACGCGGAGGCTGGAGGGGCTTGCCCGGAGCGGGGCTTGGGTCTCCGGCCCCGCCCCTACCAAGCCGGGCCTCTGCTCAGGACAGTGAGCACTCCAGGAGGGGCAGGATCCAGCCTGGTGTGACCCTGGCTCAGCCGCTCCGGGGGAAGTGACAGGAAGATTTCTGAACCTCTTTCCCCGCGGGGTAAAATTAGCACGCATGGCCCCCCGCACTGCGCCGCGTCCTGAGCATTTCCACGCAGTGTGCACAGGCTCCCAGTGGTGCCTTCAACAGAGGCCCCTCCTGAGAGGGTTGGTCCCCCCGCCCCGCCCCCCAGCACCTGCCCCCGCCCTGCCCCGTCGGGACCCGATGGGGCCCACCAGTCGGCTCCGTGCCCCCGGGCCTCCCTCCCCCACCCCCGCCCGGGGAAGGGGCAGAGTCTGACCCCACCGCCGGGTAGGATGAACGCCAGGGCCAGGCGAGCTGCCCCAGGACCAGCTGCGGCTCCGCGGCCACTCCGGCCGGGAGCCGCTGGGCGCCTTCGCCGCTGCCCCACCTGTGCGGCGGCCGGTGACGCCTCCTCAAAGGGCTGTGGTGGGAGCTGAGGACTCGCTGCGTGGACCACCTGGGCGGCAGCTGGCACAAAACAATAAGCACCGGGCGTTGGCTGTTGATGCGCCAACGACGTCGACGCGGGGCGCCAACGACGTCGACGCGGGCCGCCAAGTGCAGGTCGGGGACAGCGAGGCCACGGCAGGACAGCCGTGGCCCCGCGCGGCCCTTCCACAGGATCCCCGGGCAGCGCTGACGCCACCTCAGGAACAAGGGCTCCCGCGGCCCCGTGTGGGGGATCAGTGGGACTCACGGCCGGTGCGGGTGTGAAGCCCCGAAAGGGCGGCAGAGCTCACGCGGGGGGGGCGAGGGTCGGAGGTCGTACCGGGAAGCCCCAACGCTGGACCCAGGGGCCCCTCCCCAGTGTGGCCCCCGCCCAGCTGCTGCCCTCGGAAAAGCCGCCCGGCCGGGAGGGGCGGGGCACTCGCAGGACACACGAAGGCACGCGCCCCGCGGCTCCCCGCTGGCCCAGATGCAGCGTGGGCGCCCCCTTCCCCGCCTCCACCAGACCCCGAGGCCCGGGAGCCTCCCCATGACCGGGAACGGGAGAGGGACAGCGGGGCACTGGCCCCTCCGAGGGTCTCACGGCGCCAGCGTCCTGCACCGAAGCCCAGGGCAAGGGTGTGACACGCCGTCTTAACTCCCGCGATGCCGAGTGCCCCTTCTTCCGACCAGACTCCCAAGTGCAGGTGCAAGGCCTGCGTGCCCAGGCCGCCCCACCCCGCCCCGCGGCGGGCACCCCCAGGCCGCCCCAGAGGGCACGCGCGCCCCTCCGGGGCCACGGGGGGACCTGTAGCCCTCGCATACAACGTGAGGTCTTAGGAAAAGACTGGCCTTGGCCAGGGGGCTGGGTCGGAACGTCGCCTCGTGCCCCGAAGGGCTGTGGGTGCAGCTCCCCGTCGGGGCTCGTGCCTGGGCTGTGGGCACGGTGTTTCTCTCGCACATCCACGTTTCTCTCCCTCCCCCTTCCTCGCTCTAAAACCAATGAACATTTCCTCGGGTGCGGAGTTTTTAAAAGAGGGTGAGAGCGCACAGAATGAGCGGCCTGCCAACGACGGGCGTGGAGGTGCAGGGGCCTCTGGGAGTCGCCAACCGCAGGGCCGGCCGGCCTTCTCCACACGGGGGCCAAAGCGCGGTCCTCTCGGGGGGGTGAGGGGGGCCGTCTGCCGGTGACCCCGCGGCCCGGGGACCCCGCGGCGGGCTGGGGTCGGGACCGCGCGGTCCCGGGAGAGCACGCGCGGCACCCGGGGCACTCGCCAGCGCGCAGGGGGCCCTCCCACCTCCCCGCCGGTCCCCAGGGTCCCGAGGCCACGGCAGCTTCGGGACCTGAAGGGTCTGAGCGTCTGGGTATCGGGCCGGGCTGCACAAACCCCCGGGACCGCAGCCAGAGCACAGGGTCTAACTAGGAAAACCCCTCTCTCTGACACCCTCGTTTCGGTGTCGGGGGGGTACCAGACTTTGGGGGTGATCACTTTGTAAACTCTATGAATGTCTAATCACTGTGTTGGACACGTCACATGAACGTATCAATTGTATGTCAACTGTAGTTGAAAAATTAAATTTTTTTAAATATTAAAAAAATTCTCTATGTATAAAGTGGATTTATCTGCGAAGTACCAATTACTTTTATTTAGAAAAAGTTTTCTAAATAAAATTTTTTTTTTAAGATTTTATTTATTTTTAGACAGAGGGGGAGGCAGGGAGGGCAGGAGAGAAGCAGCCACATGCGGTCACCTCTCACGCGCCCCCTACTGGGGGCCTGGCCCGCAGCCCAGGCCTGTGCCCTGACTGGGAACCGAACCTGCAACCCTTGGGCTCGCGGCACTCAATCCACGGAGCCTCACCCGCCGGGGCAAGTTTTCAATGTTAGTCACAAGCAAGTGTCTCATCCAAGAAAGCCGAATTACAAATTAAATCAGGGCCATGTTCCGCATTTCCGCTTCCAGGCTGGCCGGGGCGGGGGGCCTGCCTGCCACGCCCCCCCACGGGCAGGGACGGAACGCCAAGCCCCCGGTCCCGGCGGCGGCGGCTGTTCCAGGGCCAGCTCAGCCTCTTTGCGAGGCTGCAATGTTTTCCTTAAAAGAAGCTATTCCAGGGAGACTTCCTCGTTACAAAAATACGCTTTTCAAAAACTGTCTCAACTTTGAACTCCTGAGTAGGATTACATACTCATTGTTGTAAAGATCTAAGGTGGAAAATCACGTTTTCCTCCTTCTTGACTTAAGCTGATGGACAGGCCTAGACCTCCTGACGGGCCGAGGCCCGGCCACCGCTGTCCGCAAGGCCGCGCGGGCCGTCGCCGCCAGCCTCCACAGCCACCGACCAGTCGTCCTCGCGGGGCTTCGGAGAGGAGGCACGTCATGGCGGCAGGGGACCGACTGCGGCCCGAGCCCGGGTCCGGGCGCGGGCAGCCCGCGCTTCTCAGCACAGGCACAGGGCAACCTGGTCGTACACCCGAAGGGAAGGGGCAAGTCTCAGGCTGGGGACAGAAACCCGTGCTCCAGCGCCACGGCTCGACCCTGAGACACAGCCTCACGTCCCCGAGTTCCTCACAGGCACCGCTCCTGACGTCCTTCACGGGTTTTCCTCTTTCTGTGCTTGGTTACCAAGCAGAATCAGTCTGAAAAAATGCCATCCCTGCGGGCTACATCCCCGAGGGGACAGCGATCCCCCGGGAACCCTCCCCGCGCAGGGAAGTCACCGCCAGGCTCGGCACACGCGAGGGGACACCGCCTCCCTCTGCAGCCACGTCTGGAGGGCGCGCTGCGACGGCAGGCAGGTTTGAGGCCGGAGGGTTGAGGCCGCACGATTTTTTGTTTATTGATTTTAGAGGAAGGGAGACAGAGAAACATCCATCAGCTGCCTCCCACATGCGCCCCAACCGGGGACCCAACCAGCGGCCCAGGCGTGTGCCCGGCCGGGCATCGGACGCCCGACCTTCCGGTGTGCGGACAAGGTTCCGGCCGCCCGCCAGGGCCCTCCCCCCGGGCCACCGGACAGCAGCGTGGAGCCCCGACCACCCGGTTAACAGGCCGGGAACACGCAGCGGCCACCGCTGGGCCACAGGCACCCCGGAGGCCTCAGCAGCGCGGAGGTGCGCTCGGCCACCCTGGTAGCGGCATGTGTGACGGGCCTCACGGAGCAGTGGCGTTTCCAGCCGCTCGACTCCGGACCCAGACGCCACGGGGTCTCCACGGACCCCCAGGCGCTCTCAGGGCTAAGGCAGTGCGGGCCACGTGACAATCACGTGGGCTGGGCTCTGAGCACAAACTGGCAACACCCGGCCATGCCGCCTGCCCGTTCCTGTGCGCTGCGGGCAAGCGCTGGCTGTGATGCCCCCGGCCGGGCCACACCCTCAGGGATGTGTCCCCGGCGCAGGCCACCGCTGCTCCCGAGCCCGTCCGCTGCCCTGCGTTGCCTCCGTCATCCCCCGCCATCCAGGCTCGGTGAGGCTGGCCGAAGAGATGTTCGCGAGGAGGCTCCCCGGCAGCGGCGCAGCCTCTGGCCAGCGAGGGCAGCCGCCAGCCCAGCCCGGGAGCTGCCCTGCACGCCACTGCGGACCAGCCTGCGCCACGGGTCTCCGCCTCTGAGGCCCCTCTGTCCTCAGCGGGCGCCGCCGCCAGGGCCCCAACGCTGCGAAAGGGGATCTGACGCAGGTTCATCGCGGTAACATCAGGACACACCTTCTTGCACCAAGACTTTTCGCTGAATTTAAGGATGTTTATTGAATTCTATTTTTGGTGGAAAAAAATGTAACATACATGTATTTAGCACAGCCCGTGGGGCGCAGGCCCGCAGGGCGAAGCCGGGACGAGGCCCCCCTCCGCGTCCACGGGGAGGCCTGGCCGCGGGCTGCTCCGCTGTCGGAGGGCATTTCCTGCACTCGGGCCACCTGTAACGTTTACTAGTTTTCCCCTTTCAGTGTGGACAGCAACTCGCCGTTTTCTTTCAGTTCCTAAAGATGAAAAAGAGAAGAGCAACATGTAAAACACAGTCTGATTACAGAGGCCGCGGAGCCCGAGCACTGAGGGGAACTCCGGCTCCCGACTCCGCAGGGCTCCGTGCAGTCAGACCGCACGGGGCGGCCTCCAAATGAAAGGGAGAAGGCACCCTGAGCCCAGCGACTGCTCAGCAATTAGCAGATACGGCAACGGGCAGGACAGCGAAGCCTCCGACGTAAACCGCAGCAGCAGGTGCAGAGAGGCTCTGAGTGGGGGAGGGCCAGGTGCCGCCGATGTGCCCTCAGAGGGGCACACGACACCCGCCGCCCCGTCCCTGCTGCCACCCAGGCCGGAAAGGGTAAAGTGGCAGCCAGAAGCCAGCCAAGGAGCCTGAGAGACGGTTCAGAGATTCTTTGGTGCCATCTCTCCCCAAACACGGAACGCAGCCACCACGTCGAAAAGGCAACAAGGAAGATGAGACCCTCGTCTAAGGGAAGCGTCGCTCCGCTGCTCCAGGCCCGGCCGTCTGGAGCGGCCCACGCCGGCCTGCAGGCCCAGTCGGCGCCTCTGGACGAAGCCCGGGGCGCAGTGCGTCACCGGGCTCAGCCAGCCCTCAGGGGCGTCTTGGGATCCACTCCCCACGTGGCAGGCAGGGGCCCCGCTGTCCCCAGGGTCCAGCAGGGCGGTCGGAGCGCACGGCTCGGAGGGCCGGCGGCACCCGGCAGAACGTGGATGCCAGGGCTTCCCAGCTGTGACGCCCCCTCCCTGGTGACGGCAGGGACTTCCCGCGGGCCGCCGTGCGAAGGCAGCCGGGCGCCGAGTCCTTCAGACACAGTCCGCCAGCGGCGGTTTAGCGGGCGACCCGCACGGGACACGCTGACCGTCCCCAACAAGGCAGGCGGGAGCCCGGGCGTCAGGGCAGCAAAGCCCACGAAGCACGTGCTCGTCGGCAGCAAGTTCTGCCCACACGGGACTCGCCGCCTCTGCCTCCCCGGTCCACTCGGCCCCCACCCACCCGACAGAAAGAGCGCCAGGGCCACTCCCGAGGCCGGCCGGGGGGCCGCCAGGCACGCCCGTGTCCCCACAGCTCACGGAGGAAGAGCCCAGCTCGGCAAGAAACGGACCCAACGCATCGGAGCTGGTCCCAGGCGTCTTCTCAACGAACCCACTTCCCAGCACGTGCGTCCCCCGCAGGTGAGCGCAAAGACGCAGCGCAAACACCCTGTGACGCTCCTGGAGGGAGGCTGCCCACGCGCAGCTGCAGGGCTGAAGGGGGTTTACGGATTGCGCCTTCCCAAGAGTTACCGACGGCCAGGGCACCGGCAGTAAAGCACTCAGGCAGGAACAGGCTCGAGAGAGTTTGGGGTTTGAAGACTGTATGTCTTACAAAAATGAAAATGCATACGAAATAACAAATGCAGACCTATTTTTGTTGCTTCAGGGCCATTCAAAAGTTCCAATACTAAGTGAAACCTTTCTCCCACCAGGAAAAGACAGTTTACTAGAAAAACGTCTCCCTGGCCAGCTTGCAAAGTGGGAGGCGGAGGCGGAGGCGGAGGCCAGCGAGGGGCGCGCAGGCACGGAGAGAAGGCCGCACGCGGCCTCCGCATCCCGCAGGCACAACCCCGTGGCCTGCTGTGCTGCCATCACTCAGGGTGGCCGGTGTCCTTCACCTGGCGAAGGGCAGATCTGAACGGTCTCTCCTCTCATGTAACTAGACACAGGGCCACGTACTACCTGCTTCCTGCTCAAAGGGCCCCAGAGGAAGTCCCGGCCACAGCCGCCTGGCGCTGACCCTGCAGGGCGCGCGCCCAGCTCGGGCCTGCCCCGCGCCCACACTGCCGCCCCCCAGCGCCGGGACAGCGGCGGGGCCCAGGGTGGCGTGGTCCGCGTGCCTCTGCGGTTCTGCGCCGGCGGTCGCGTCTGGAGCCCAGGATGCACCCGCAGAGGGTGCCCCCGATTCCGGACTCCAGCTCCAGAAGGAGAGTCACACCCTTTACAGTTCCGCCAGTTTCCTCAAAGCAAACACAAGAAGGAAGCGGGTCCGCAAAGACGTGTGGAGACGGCACCCCTGGGGTGCGCTTGCCCCGAGGCTGGCCCGCTGCCTCGCACCTGGGCACCCAAGGCGGGGCTGGGCGCGGCCTCACGCCCTCCTGCCTCTTCCTTGTTTTTTTTAGATTTTCTTTCTTTCTCTAGAGAGGAAGGGAGGGAGAAAGAGAGGGAAACATCCCTGTGTGGCTGCCTCTCATGACCTCCCCACTGGGGACCCAGCCTGCAACCCAGGCCCGGGCCCTGACTGGGAATCGAACCGGCGACCCTTTGGTTCGCAGGCCGGCGCTCAGTCCCCTGAGCCGCACCAGCCCGGACCCTCCTGCCTCTTTCTTTCAGGAAACTGAGTCGGGGACCTCGGGCCTCCTGCCCGTGGGCACGGGAGCGAGGCCAACAGGGAACCACGGGGAGGGGAGCCGTGGTCACGGCGACGTGACTACAAAGGCACAGGGGCGTCCGGGCGGCAGCCGGGACCCTGCGCCGTGATTCCCACACGGGAGCGCCCGTGGCGGACACAGAGGGCAGAGCCGACTGCAGACCACACGAGGCCCCCAGCGGAGGAGAGGGGCTGGAGGGGAGCTGGAACCACGCAGGGAAGCTCCACCGACGCAGCCCGGCGGGACTCCGACCGCACGCGGGGCGCAGAGCGCGGCCACGGCGCGAGCTCCTCCGAACAGCGCGTTGCAGAGTGTGCGCCCCCGCAGCTCCCGGGAGGGCGGCCGGAGGGGCAGACAGGCCTCCCAGCGCGGGGCGGACTAGCTCAGGGGAGCGGCGAGGGCAGTCGGGCACAGCAGTGACAGTGAGGGTGGCGAGACAGGGGCCCGAGACACGAGTGGACGCGAGGCCCGAAGCGGAGGGCGGCGAGCGCCGCCGCTGGGCCCCGTTCACACGCCGCCCCCGCCCCCGCCCCCGCCAGGCACGCCCGGCGCCCAGCGCCCACCTTGACGATGTCCAGCCCTCCGACGAGCTCCCCTCTCACGTACAGCTGCGGGTACGTGGGCCAGCTGGAGAACGTCTTCAGTCCCTGCCGAACCTACAGAAACAGCGGGAGCCCTGAAACCCCGCCGTCGGGCTCGAGCAGCGAAGGGTAAGACGGGGGACAGGAAACACAGGACTTACTTCTTCATCCTCCAATATGTCGAATGTCTCATAGTCCACACTGCCAAGAGAAAGGACATTTTACCAAGAAATTCAGTTTGAAACAAAAATTGTAAAACCTACTTTGTTTTAAAAATAGTCCAAAAAAGTACAGAAACCCCTTGGGCACCAACGATATTCACTGCAGAAAACTGAAAGGACTCGACTTCCCCGTCTGTCAGGAACCCCTCAGAGCGAGTCGTCCCAGACACGCGTCCGGCCGTCCGGCCTCCTCTCCAGGCAACGTCGGCTGGGGCAGGGCCGGCCGGCTTCCCCCTCCAGGCGAGAGAGGCGAGGCACAGGCCGGGCCGGGACCCCACGCCGCGGGCGGGGCCGCTCGCAGGAGGCAGGGGCCGGGGCAGCTCCGCACTTCTGAAGCAGCGTGACCAACACTGCCGCACCGGCGCTCGGAAATCGCCACCGGGTCAGGGCCCGGTCGCAGTGGGGCAGGGGTCCGCGCGCAGTCCCAGAGGTTGGCCACCGAGGCCCCACCCCCGAAACCCGCGCTGCCTCCCAGGGGGGCCTGCAGGCTCGGGAACCCAGCCCCGGGGCCTCTCCGTGGGGCAGAGACAGCACAAAAACGAGACAGCAGGCCACCAGCAGCAAGGGCCATGAGAGAAACGTCTGAAACAGCAAAAGTAAGCTTTTTATAAAAGGGCCCACACGCGCTACGTCTCCCTCTCGGGGTGAAGGGAAGGAGGCAGCCCTCCAACCCAGACAGTCCGAGCCGCAGGCCGGGCACAGGCCGCCTGTCGGGCCCAGGGCGCCCGGGGGCACCCGGGGGCACGCGTGTCCCCGCGGTCCTCGTACAGGGGCCGTCCGCGCCTCCCTGCACACCTGGGCCTCGGCCCTCGCGATGAGGGACGGGGGCCAGCAAGGGAAGGACAAGGCCAGGGCCGCCCCCGGCAAGCTCGGGTGCGTCCCAGCTACAGGGCCGCAGGGGCCCGTGGGCGTGGGGGGCCCTCTCCCCCGCAGCAGCCCCGGCTCCGGCAGCCAGCGCCGCCCTCCGGGGCTGCACAGACACGGGCCAAGGACGGACGGCGCGCTGCCAGCACGGGGTCGGACGCAGGCCCAGGGCGGGCCGGCCGCGGTGCCCCGGGGACAGGCCGCGCCCCCGTGGGACGGGGGCAGCGGGAAGGAAGGGGGGCCGTAGAAATAGAGACCCAAACCCGGCCCGCGCAGACGGGCACCGGGCAGGCCGTTCCAGGCAGTAAACTGACCGGACCCTGCTCTGTAAAATGGCACAATCGTTGGAAGAACTCCATCGCTTCCCTTTCTGTCCCCAAGGTTGTGTACGGACCGGCGCTACTCGGCTGACTACGGCCCGCTCTGCCCGCGAACGTCTAAATATCCTGGAAATGGCGTCTCCTGTAGTTTCACAGGGCTGCGTCCTCTATGCCTGGCCACGGTTTAAGCACTTACAGCATGAAAGGGCAGTTGTGAAATAGGAAGTGAGCGAACTAAGCAAACGCGCGTGGCAAACCCTACAGAACACGCGCCAACTGTCTACAAGTCCGTGGCTCTGTGTCAATTTTGTAACCTGAGGGATAACTGACATGGAAAAGCGGTTCTGTTTGTAACTATAAAAACCACACACAATTTTCTCACTCAGCAGCTGATCCCTGAGCAGATCAAGAGCGAGGCCCCTGCGTTTAGCCCGCCTCTTCCTCAGATCCGGGTGACCGACCCTAACGCGCGCCCTGTAGCGGCTCTGAGGGCCGCGGAGACACAGGAATGGGTTTGAAGAAAGCTGGAAACCTGGAGCTCGCTTCCCCTGAACCGCCGTTACGCGGGGCAAGGGCCCCGTCACCGACTCTCCTTCCGGAAAGCGGACAACCGTCTCGTTGTCACCAGGGGTTCGACACTGGCCAGAGAGCTCTCTTGTCATCGACGGAAAGCGCTCGTGAAATGGCGCAGCAGGACAAACAGAAACACAGGGTCAGAGCACTGGAAGATCGCTGTTTCCTAGACACGCCGTTGAAAAACAAGGTCGACTTACCCGGTGCTATTCAGTATTTCCAGGATCTGTTTGCTGAATCCACACTTGGCCTCCTAAATTTGGAAAAAGGAAGTGCAGCTGTGAGCCCCGCCCCCCAGCGTGGCTGAGCCAGCGCGCCCTTCCCGCCCGGGGTGGGGCGGGGTGGGGGGGGCGGGCATGCCAGGCGGGCCTCCTGCCTGCGCCTCAGGCGCCGGGCCCTCGCGAGGGCGAACCAGACGCACGGCCCCCTCCCCCGCAGCTCCGCCTCCGTGTCCCCGGGCGCCGGCCCTCGGCCTCGTGGTCCTGCGCCCTCACGCGCCCTCCGGGCGGCACACTCGGAGGCCACGGAAGCCCTCCATTTTCCTGCCGCAGGGTCCCGGGGCCGTCGATCCCCAGGGAAGGCGCGACGCGAACGTCACCAGAGCGCTAACCTAACATCGTGTTCCCAGGAGGAACAGCTGCTTCCTGGGCTTCCAGAAAAACTGTTTTGAGAATAAAAATAATCAAAAAAATAAATAGATAAAAGCGACTTTCTCCATGCTGGGCATTGTAAACCTCTTCTGTTTGTTTCAGTGAACACAGCGGACAAGGCGCCCAGGCCCTCGTCCAGCAAGGGACCGGGCGGGATGCGTGCCCCGCTCTCCTGGCCACGCTGCTCTCGCTGCGGCGGCCGCCGCGCTGCCCCGGGAGCTGCCGCGACCTCGTCCTCCCCGGGCCTGGTGAGGCGCCGTCTGTGCACGGAAGAGCGGGGGGCCCTGGGCTCGGGACCTAAAGCCCAAGAAGCTACGAGAACCACCCTGCTGCTGGGAAAGCGGCCTGGCATCGCAGGAGCGATGCTGCGAACTCCAGTGGAGAGGGCAGTTGGGCGTGCCTGTGGCCCTTGATCCCTCGGGGCAGACCCCGTGGGAACCTGACAAACACTGAGGACCCGCTCTTTAGAAGAACAGAACACGCAGCCACAGAAAAGGAAAAACTGTGTGCAACAGCCCCGTTCTCCCACGGCAGGGGCGCGGACAAGCGGGAGACAGCACGGCTCCGTCCACCAGAGACACTTCTGCAGGAGCGTACGAAGCACGCCCCCCACCCCGCCCCCGCCCAGAACTGCGAGGCTCCCTGGGGACAAAGTCCTCAGCCAAGGGCAACAGCCCACAGACCCGGCCAGGCGCTGACAGCGGGGGACGATCCGGCAGCAGAAAGTGCACCCAGGAGACACCGGGACAGAGCCAGAAATCAGGGCGGGCCTCCCCGCTCCGGGCTGTGCCTCCGGGGCTCCGCCCGCCCACCGACACCGCCCAGGAGAAGTCGCGGCCCGGCCACCGAGTCCCTACCTGCCTGCTGCCCTTCATGAAGAGCATCACGGGGGCTTTCCGCGTCAGGGCTGCGAGCCTGCGGGGAGAGAATGGGCAGAGGGGCTCAGCGTGGGCAGCGGCGCGCAGCCCCGTGGTGTCACACAAGGCCACGTGCCGGGGGCTCCCTTACTCCACGCTCCCCCTAAGCCGCTGCAAACACAAGATGGCTTTTTCAAGGCCACGTGTGTCCTTCAAGTTGCAATTTAAGCCATCGACCCACACTTCTGAAAAGACAGCAGTGCTCAGTTCGGCAAGACAGTGTCCACGAGGGCCCTCTGGGGGCGCCCGCGCCCTGCACGTGCCCCCTCTACCAGGAGGCCGCCCGGAGGGGCCCCAAACCCGGCGCAGCCGCCCCGCCTGGCGCTCCCCTCTAACTGCAGGCGGGCGCCTTCCCACACGTGACCTAACGGGCTGCAGGGGCTTCCGCCGCCTGCGGTCAGCCTGGGTCTAGGGGCAGATCTCAGGGGCAGCCTGGGGGGCGGCTGTTGCCAGGCTCTGCTCCCGCCCACCTCTCCGGGTGGCCTGTGGCCCTGGAGCTCCTGGGGAAGAGCTGTCACAAATGAAAGCACAAGCCAGGCACGGGGCCGTCACAGATGCTTTCGGTAGAGGACAGTGCGCTAACCCTCAAAACCCACCACGGAAAACACTGCCGTGCAGACCCCGACCGCTGACCTCGCGAGCAGCAGCCTGCGCCCAGGAGAGCGGGGCCCGGCCCTCGCTGCACCCAGAGGCGTCGCCTGGCGTGGGCCTCCGGCTCCTGCATGTTCCCCACCAGGGGCCCTTCTGCGTTTTGCTCCACACACACTGCGCCGTCAGGCTCCGCAGAGCCCCAGGCAGGCGCCTCCCGGGGCCTGAACCCCCAGGGGCCGGGGCCGGGGCCGGGCACGGGCGCCCGGCAACACTGCCACAAACACGCGGAGGACGGGAGTCACAGCGGGACCCGGAGCAGCCACCCCCACTGCAGCGGCAGGGGAGGGCTGAACTCACGTGAGGAAAGTGCCACTCCCAGGCCAGCTTAAGAGCCGTGGAACGCTGTTTGTAAGGGTTATTTTGTCAACCAAAGGCACGCGAATCACGTGTTTATTTCTAAAGTTTTAGAAACTCTCAACACGTTAAATGGGACGACAGTGACGAGACCTTTGCCCACCAGCTGACGCCCTGGCAGGGAACAGCCCGCAGGCGCCCCACGTCCCGAGGGGCTTCTTCAGACCTCTGCGTCAGTGCCCACCGACTGCAACGGAAGTCCCTGCGAGCCGCCCCGTGGGCCAAAGCCCGCACAGCTGGCCGGGGGAAATGTCCACCAGCTGCCTGAGGAGACGAGGGAGGCGGCCCCGAGCCCCCGCCGGTGCGCCACCGCGGCCTGGGAAGGCAGGGAGAGGCGGCCCACGCCCACAGCGCGAGCCCCCTCCACCCCGGGCCCTGCGTGGGCGCGGCAGCGGCAGGCAGCAGGGCCCCGCGCAGTGCCCTGGGCAGGCCCTCGGACTGCTGGGCCCTGGCTCCAGGACGCACGGAGCCGACGCTGCTCGTCACATCGCGGCAGCGACACTCCTGTAAACACAGAGAATGCCCTGCACTCCGTCGCTGTGAAGACACGAAACGCGCCCCGTCCAAAGCCCGCCGCCCCGGCGGGCGCGCCTGCTGCACCGCGAACGGCTTGGCGCGGACCGCGGCGTGGGGACGACGCCCTGCGCTGACGATGGCAGGCAGCGCTCACTCTGACCGGTAGAGAATCCCTCTGAAACAAGGAGAGACTCTCAAAATACTTACCGTTCCTCTAATTTGGGGGCTTTGGGGCAAACGGTGTCGAGTTCTCCGGACGCTTCCAGCTCCTGAAATAGACACACGTGTGGGTTAAGAAAACGTTTATGACAAGGTGTGTCTCCTGGCCACACCGCCACGTGGAGCCCAGGCACAACCCTCTCATCGGAAACCCCGCACGTGCGTGTGCGTGCCGGCCAAGGCAGAGGCTCCGAAGGAACGTACGCTTCAGGCTTGTCACAGCACCTACAAACCCACGCCCCAGCTGCAAACTCCCTGCCCGGCACGACCCCAACCCAAGTCTGACCTTGACTATGTCGAGTCCTCCTATGAGCTCGCCAGAAACGTAGAGCTGGGGATAGGTGGGCCAGTTGGAGAAGGTTTTGAGGCCCTGGCGCACTTCCTCATCTGAGAAGACGTCGAAGCTGCTGAACTGAATGTTGTGTCTGTTGAGAATCTGCACCATCTGCTTGCTGAAACCTGCACACAGAAAAAGAAAATAAACACCGACTTTCTCTCTCGCGGACACGCACACCATTTTGAGTTCCGAGGACACATTACCTACTGCCCACACTCTACCAGCGATTTAGTAAGTGTGGCTGAACAGCGTGCAAGGAGAAAAGCCCTCTAATGCGCAACCACACAGCCCACATTCAGGTAGAGTCCAGCTTTTTAGTACGCTTGTGAGTTTTTTAAAAAGCGTGTGCACGTCAGACCTGCCTCTCACCGCAGGACACCAGTCCTGGCCAAGGGGCAGAGCTCTACAGCCCGAGCCTGGCACCACGGCGGGGGCGGGGGCGGGGGGGACAGGTCAGCCCCAGACAGCCGCGTCCCCTCCCACGGGGCCCGCCCGCCTGGAGGCTGGCCAGCCGGACAGCAAGGCACCCCGCCCACGCTGCTGGGGCGTCGATCTGGGAGGGTCAGCGCCATGGGAGGGGACACTCCAGGGGAGGACCCGCGGAGGAGGGGCAGGGGCGGTGCTTTCTCATTGGCCGTCAGACCTGGGCAGTTTCTTTTCTGAAACCATTTACATTCCCCAAAGTACGCCACGCGACTTTCCCCTACAGTGTAAAGACCGGCTTGTGTTCCAAGATTTTATTATACCGTAGTGACACGTTTTTGTTCTGTACTTTTTTTGATACCACTTTCTCAGGATGACAGTACGGAAAAATAAGAGTGTATCAGTCGCGGATAAATCTGTTAGTGTTGTCTGAAAAGAGGCATTTTTCTCCCCGTGAGCTGATTCTCCACGTGTCTTCGACGCGGGCCACGCCGCACTTCCACACCCCGCACACAGGCCAAGGTCTAGAGAATAACCCACGTCCCAGATTCCGAGTTCCTATACGACTGACGGCACCAGCAACTCCTTGTAAGTGAAGGATCATAAAACGCGGCATAAGATTATTCCCGGAGCAGCTCTCCTGACCCACACGGAAGCACGTTTGCTAACAAGCGCGGATGTCCGTGAGCGCGCCCGCCCTGCCCGCAGCGTGCAGGGGGCACGCGCAGGGCGGGGGCGCGCGGGGAGGGCGGCACCGGCAGGCGCACGGCCGTGGGCGCGTGGCTGGGTCCCTCCCCATCTCCTGACTCGTCGCCCACTGTGTCACTTCCCACGCAACACCTGTGAACGCCCCCGCCCCACTCCATGTTTGTTCATAGCGTGTTAGCGCGCTCTTCCGACGACCGAGCGCCGAGTTCACGCACAGCCCGCAGGGAAGCGCGGGCTCGGAGGCCTCCCCGCGCCTGTGCGTCCCTCAGCCCACGTACCCCGACTCCTACCGAGCCAGCCGGGAGCCCCGCCTCCACGCATGCGGTCACGTGCGGGCCAGAAGGGCTGGTGGCCAGTGGGCTTTCGTGTTTAAGGGTTAAAGGAGCTGACCGGAAATGTCACGCTTAGGAATAAAATAGTAAGGAAGCTTTATTCTAACAAAACATTTACACTTTTTTAAAGAAAAATGCACGCACACATGCACGCAATGAAAACATTTAAGAGTAGGAAACCGTGTCAGCCGCCACAGAAGCTCGGTCTGGCTCTGCGGTCACTTCTGCCCCGACTGAAGCCGCGACCCACGGCCCCAGCCACCACGTCTCCTCACCCACAGCAGGCGGAGCCTAAAGGGCCCGCGGGACTGGCCCTGCTTCTGCGTCTGCCTGGAAAAGGGACACCCGGTGAGGGGCTCCCACTGCACGAGGATTCTCTCCCCCGTGGTTCAAAGGCCCTTCGCTTCGCCAAATGCTCCGACAGCTAAAATAGATACAAGATCTCCACACGGCCCCGCGCAACCGAAACCAGCGCGCTCGGGTCTGCAGGGCGCCGGCGGCAGGTGCAAGCGCTCAGTCACGCAGCGTGTGGTGCGGCCACACGAAGGGGAGCAGAGGCCATGGGAACCCGATGCGGGAGGGCCGGGTGACCGCAGGCCCGAAGGACAGAAGCGCCAGCAGCTACGCGGCTCAGGGAACAAGAGCGGCCACGAGCCGCAGAACTGGGGACCTTTAAGTGACCAGAAGCCCCCAGCTGGGAGTGACGGCAGCGGGTGAGGGACAGGGTCACCCAGGGCTGCGAGGCAGCAGGGCCCAGGGCAGACGCGGGGACGCAACCAGATTGCGGGAGGTCTGTGCACCGCAGCGTCCAGGCCACGGCAGGCGTGCAACTGCCCCAGGATACGGGGCTGAAGCCCGCGGCTGGGGCCTCGTCCCGGCGCAGCTGCCAGGAGGCCCGGGCAAGCCGCCCGCACTTCCTCGGGGACTCCAGCCCACGACCACGGTCCCGAGCCAAGGGCCTCCCGGCACCCTCTGCGTCTGTGGTACGCACCGACCCACACCGCCCGACCCTCCGCCCCACGGGGTCTACGGCCTGTCCGGCTTTCTGGAGGCGCCTGAACAGAAGCCTCCGACGCGTGGGACGGCCTGGGAGGAGCGCAGGCCCTCGGCCGACCCGCCCTGCTGACGGCCCCAGGGCCACGCTATCACAGCAGCAGCTCTTACCGCAGCGCGGCTCCTGCGGAGTCCCCTTCATGAACAGCACGCAGGGGGCGGCGTGCGTCAGCCTCTTGAGGCGCGCGCTGAGGTCCTCCTTGGGCTGCCCGCTCCCGCCGGCGGGCAGGGAGCCCACGGAGCCGTGCCGCTGGACTTTTTTGGTCAATTCTGGGGCATGTGCACCATCTAATCGGTCAATTTTCTGAGAATTCTAAAATTAAAAACCTCATTTAGAACACATGGCAGTCCTTCATCGCCTTTATATTCTTGGCTTCAGAACATTAACGAACACAAACCCACAGTTTTAGCCAACTTTTAAAGGGGCCACGCTATTGCTGGAGGAGTTTTTAAAACCTATCAGTTGCCCGCAATGCACCTTGAGTTGAGAAATAACTAAGTGTTCTCCCGCCGATCCCTTTTTTTCTTTCTGGGAACATCACAGGAAAACACCTGTACATTTTCCAATATCAAATCCCATCAAGTAGCTGGTGTTTTCAGGGTGTGTGGCACGGAAGTTGACGGCACACTCGCATTCTGTGAGACCCACTGGCTGGCCGTCACCGTGGCTCCGGCTCACACGCAGACCAGGCCGTAGCCTAAGGTAACAGAGAAAGGACGCCCCACCCGGGGGGGTGCGCCGTGGTTAAGTGGGAGCGAGGCGTCCGGGGACCACGGTGACGCCGGGTGTGCCCGCGGCGCAGACCGGCACCGCATCCTCAGAGTTGCCAATCAAAGCAGGGCCGGCCGGGTGTCCCGTCTCGCCTAGAAACGCGCCCTGCCAGCCCGCGTCTGCCCCAGCCAGGCCAGCGTTTGGGGTGTGCAGCCCGCACCCGGACTTTCCCCAAGAAGCCCCAGCTCTGGTTGCTGGGCCTCCGATCTCTGTCCCCTTTCCAGGACCCCAGGGTGCACAAGCACTAAGGCTACGAGAAGGGGCGAAGCCTGGGCCGGTCAGGGTTCGGGGCGAGGGCGAAGACACCAAAACAGAAACCCGTGGCCCAGGGCAGACGGAGGACCTCCTGTGCCAGCCTTGGCCTTACCTTGAAAAACAGAAAGGTGGGAACAGAACTAATTTCATATTTTTCAGATACTTCAGGAACAGCTTCAGCTTCCAACTGCAAAATAAGAGAATTAAACTTGATTATAAAAGGGCCTTTTGCAGGACCTCAGTATGTAAGTTGGTTTCACGTGCACCATCCCCTCAGGCAGAGGAGGTGTTTGGCGAGTGTGGCACGCGGGTCACGGCTCGCTCACGCTGACACGACCCCACCGGGCTGGCGGTCCCGCCTGGCCTGCAGCGCCAGGCAGGCCCGAGGGCTTGCTTCAGCCGCTGCGCACTCCACACGGCGCCCGGAGGCTGGGGATAAGGCTTGGTGCACCAGTGACCCAGTGAATCTCCAACCACACGCAGCTACTGCGACACTGAAATCCATGTCACCGACCCCAGTTATGCCGTGATGACGGCGCGTATTTCCTGCCCGCAGCGGTTCCTGCGTCGGCTCCATCGGCTAACTGCTGCAGGCCGTGCCTCCGACCGACGGTTGCAGCCTCTGGCAAGTCACGAAGCATAAAGGAGTATCTCTTCAGGAAGCTGCTGACGTCTGGTAAATGCTACTTTTAACTCCTGCGAGGCCACGGGACAGGAAGCAGCCCCCTGGGCGGTGCGGGCCCCGGGCCTCTGCGCCCACGTGAGCGTGTGTGACCCAAGAGGGCCGCGGCTGTCGGGTGACGCACTTCCACAAGGCACGACGTGGGCTCAGAGCCACGGGGTGAGACACACGGAGGGCCGCGGTCTCCCAGCGCCGGGAACACAGTCACTGAGCTGGGCATGGGGGCCTCGGTGTGCAGCCCACGCCATCTAAACTTTAAACCAATAAAGGTCTGCGGTCACATTACGCCTGCAGGACATGAAAATGACTGATCCGTTATATTGTTGAAAGCTGCTCGCGTTCATACCCTGGATCTTTCCAAGCGTGAGGGAGCCCCGCGGGGCTCGGCCCCCTCTTTCCCGCCAGGGCCTCACCCAGCCCTGCACGCGCCCCCGGGCCGCCCGCCCTCGCCTGACCTCCCACCTCCCGCCCTCTCGGGCGCTCTCTTACGACCTTAGTCCTTCTTCCTCTAGAACACCCTTTTGAAACCGTAATTTTAATTATTTTAAGTGTATCTATATGAAAAAGTTATAAACACTTTAAATCAACATCAGCTGCACAATGGAAATGAAACAAGAGCAAAGAGAAGGCTGAGCCTGGGAGACAGCCCCCAGTGGACCCTGAGGCCGGGGACGCGCCCGCACTGTCTTCTCTCACACGCGGTTGCCTGTCGCACCAAAGAGTGGCAGGAAAGGGGACGACGACAAGGCAGCTCACTGTCTTCCGTCCTCTGACTGACAGCTACCGAGGGCCCCCCACACCCTGGGCATCAGGCCGAGCTCACTGAAGAGTCCCCCCTCTGGTGCGACTGGATTCTAATAGAAAAGTCCAAACAAGGGCTACAGGGACTGGAAACGGGGGGGACGCTGTCTTAGCCCCAAGCAAGGCAGGGAGCGCCCTAAAACCAGAGCCTGCGCCCGCTGACAGCTGCTCTCCCCGCCCACCTCCTCCGGCTCCCAAAGCCGCGCTGACCGCCCTCGGGGGAGTGCACAGGCCTCGGGGTGCTCCTGCGGAAGCCGGAGAGCCCCCGAGACCACGCTTCACGAGACAAAGGCAGTGGGGACAGCAAAGTCCCCCGAGCACGGCCGGGAGCAGCAATGCAGGCGCGGCTGCTGCCCGGGACCCAGGCTCTTCAAGTCCAAACCACGCGCAGCACTGGAACTTGCTGGCAGCGTTTTTGTTGAATGCAAAACATAAGCGATAACGATGAAAACAGAAAAGCAACATAAAAATACTTAACAACGATCTGCACCCAGATGAGACTGAAGAGCTCTGTGGCGGACACGGGTGGGGTTTGTGGCAGGCCCCTTCCGTGAGCGAGCCCCACCACTCGCAGCCCCGCTGGCTCGGTCCTGGGGAGCCGGCCCGCAGGCAGACCCAGGGGCGGCCCGCCGAGAAACAGGCTCGAGTCCATCTGACCAAAAGGCCTGCGCTATTTCTACAATGGCTAACATTTTCCACTACAGCAGTCACAAAGAAAGGTTCAAGCTCAAAGGCAGGATGTATGACACAACTTCAGGATCAACCAACACGCGCATTTCTAGAACGGAGTCCCACGCAGCAGGCCTCCGGGGGGAAGGAATCACCTGCTGCCGGCACCTGCGGAGAAGGGCGCGCGGGACAGGGAGGCGCGACCCCAGCACGGCAAAGCCAGAAAGGGGGCCATCTCGCTCTGCAGTCTACTTCCATCTACCAGGGGCCACCGCGATACCGAGGGCCAGCAGCCAAGACTTACTGCAGGCCAGACAGGGTTCCAAGTGCACTTTATGCTGACTCATTCAATCCTCACGACAACAGCTACGGGCAGTATGCCCATCTTCACGGAGAAACTAGAACTTTACGAGGCTGGGTGACCTGGCCAGGCTTCCGACGCTGCTGAGCTGTGGAAGGAGGTAGCCGGGCTGCGGAGCCACGCTGCCACTTTACCAGGTACGACGGTCACTCACTGCCGCGCATCCTGCTTCCCTGTCAGCGCTGTTCACTGCGCGCAGACAGGCTCCCTATCCGGGGACGCCCTTCGCTTGGCTCCCCACATTTCTCTTCCCCTCTCTACGCGGAGACTCTTCTCTGGCTTCCTCCTTCGCCTCGGCCAAGGTGACCTGGCTGCTCGCCCCAGAACTTGGGCGTGAGCCTCGTGGCCACTCCTCCCCTGCAGTGGCCTCGTCTGACCCCGCAGCTCCAGGCAACCCCAGTATGGCAAGGACACCTGGCTGGGATCCAGGCCAGGCCTTCCCCCCCCTCGCCCCCGCACGCACCCGGATCTCCCCCCGACTCTCCCACAAGGCAGCCTAGATGAATACCTCTTCCTCACCCCACACCCAATCCTCCTCACCTGGGTTCCCACACCAAAACACAAGCCAGCTCGGGCCACACGACCAGTCCAGCGCCCTGTCCCTGCTAGTGTCCTGGGCATCTCCCGCCCAGCCCAGGGAAGCAGCCTTCTCGCTGGCACCCCTGCTTCCAGGCTCGCCCTCCCCCGACAAGCTGCTGTCCACGGCGCTGGGCTGCCCGGCAGGGACTGCAGGAGGTCACTTCCGCGGCACTGGCGGTCTGCCCACGAGGCCCCGGCCCTCTGCCCCCCACCAGTCCGCACCTGCCGGCCCTGACCCTCGGAGCGCTCCGCCAGCCCTCCCGGCGCGTCACCCCCCGCCGCCCCCGCCCCCGTTCACAGCCTGCCCACTTGTTTCTTCTGCAGCACTTACGACTCCCGGAAACGACCGTGACGAAGGTGCCTGTCTCTCGTGACACCTCATGTCCCGCAGTCCCAGGGACTAGCACAGCACGTGCCACAGCCCTGCCAGTGGACAGACGTTGACCGAATGGCGAAGGAGCAGCGGTCGCCATCCTGGAGCCAAACATGGACAGAAACACCTGCCAGCAGAGGCCCCGAGGCTGGAGGCTGAGGAAGGGACGCGCCCACCCAATTCAGGGACCTTCTGTTCAACCGCGTGACACGTGGCAGAAAAGGAGAACTTTTCGAAATCAAATTCTTCCTTTGTCCATCAAATATAAAGTTTCAAAATTGATAATTTAAATTAACATTTTTGACAACTTTTAAGACTTTTCCCAAACTCTGTGCAGTGGCAGCTAATAAACTACATGAATTGCGTTGTTTTTACTACCACAACAGCAGAGATAAAAACTAGGGTATTTTTAAGATTTAACAATTCTACTAGAATCTTCTGACATTTTCAGAGTTCCTGAAACGGTAAGCCCTACCCTGCTAAATGCCACCGGCACTGGCGGCCATCTCTGGAGCCGAGACCCAGGACGCCCACTGGCCAGCGGTGCAGAGAGACACAGCCGGCAGGCGACCGGGGCTCAGCCCGCGCGTCCCCAAGGCGCACCGTGCGGCGGGTCAGACTAAACCGGTGAGCTCCAGAGACGGCCCACCCCGACCGGGCAGACCTTCGGAGGCTGAACCAGGCGAGTCCCAGCTTAGAGATGGCTGCACATTGAAGAAGGCCTGTCCATAGAGTATCCAGCCGCGTGTTACGCGAGACATTCATTGACGTCAATATAAAATGCAAGAAACACTGTACCTAAGACAATGACGCCTCCTCAGAACCCTTCAAAGCAGACACCTCGGGACCGCTCACAGGTCTCCCCATCGCCATCAGCGACTGTCATGTTTTCCTGAATCTCATCGAAGGTCTGAAATCTCTGCCCTTTCAAAGGTGATTTTAGTTTTGGGAAAAGCCAGAAGTCGCAGGGCACCCAATCTGGGCTGTAGGGGGGCTGAGTCACCTGGAGGATTTGATTTTTTCACCAAAAGCCTCTGCCCAAGACGCGATGCGTGAGCGGGCACACGGTTGCGATGAAGCTGCCGGTCACCAGCTGCCACACCCACGGCCGTTTTCATCCTGCAGCATCTCCACGACAACGAGCACTGGGGCGGCGCCCCTCACGACCCGCCTGGCCTGCAGGGGCGCTCAGGACGGACAGCGCTTCCCAGTCAGGAAACACAGCCGTTGCGGTCTGGGCCGCCCTGCGACCTGGCCATGCCTTCCCTGGGCGTGGCGAGCCAGGCAGTTTCCCCGGGACCACGGGCCGTCACTTCCGGGCCACAGCTGCGAACCACGACCCGTCCGGGTTGCGCTTTGAGCTTTGAGTCAAGTCGTGAGCGACCGCAGCACAGCACGATGCTCCTTCCGCTCTGGCAGCAGAAGCCGCTGAACGAATTTTGCCACGACACGTTTCTTGCCAAGATCTTGTATCGAACTCTTGGACACGGCGGTTTCTGGAGTCCCCAGCTCCGCTTCGAGTTCTCGTGCCGTTGGCCGCTGATCCTCGCGGACGGCGGCCCATACGCGTTCAGCATTCTCAGGGGCTCGGCTCGCTGCAGGCCTTCCAGAACATGGGTCGCTTTCAACAGGTTCTCGATCGTCTTGGAGGCGTCTGTGCCACCCTTTTTTTGTGCTGCGCTCATTGCATCATCCCCGAAAGCTTCTGAATCGCCTGAGTAGTCTCCACGGAGGAATGTCCAAGGTTAACGCCGAATCGGATGCAGATTCGTTGCTGTGCTCGCTCAGTCCCTTTGAACGCAACAGCCACCCAGTGCACATGCTCTTCAGCAGCGTCCGCCGCCCCCACCGACGAGTACAGGGAAGTCGCCATGGTTCACACATGCACATTCCAGTCCCCTCTCCTTGGGGGCCAAGTTACATCAATGTCACAAAAACCATGGTCATTATATTAACAATGGCTGGACTTTTTCTGGACAGACCTCATATAACTCCTTCTGTAGCCCAGACGTGACGTCTGAAGTTACTGTGGACATAAAGTGCAAGGGCAGCAGCTACTGGACAAACAAGAGTAACACTAAACGAAATTCGACAGCGTACAGCCTCCCCCACCAGGAGGCCGGCAGCCTGACGTGGAGAAGGCGTGCGCCCCGGTGCGGCACCCAGCACAGTGAGCGACACGGCCCAGCAGCACCGGGCGCTGCGCTGGGGACGGGAGCGGGGCGCCTGGCAGGGCGGTGGGGGCCGCCTGCCGAAGGAGAGCCGTTTACAAAATGCTGGCGTCACGGCTCCCACCTCCAGGGCCCCACGAGACACCCCCACAACAGTCCGACCAATGGCACAGACTAAGCGCAGAGACCAAAAAAATAAAAGGGCCACAGGGGTACATGGGACAGCTTTGTACAAAATGGACATGATTGAAGTCACCATGCTGTACACCTTAAATACGCACAATTTTTATTTTTAAAAATAAAATGTCAAATTTCAAAATGGCCACTCCTATCAAGAAATGCACTTGCTCTGGAGCTCGAACACTGCGAGGGGAACCCAACCTGGTCATCACCGAGGGCCCTGTGCGATCCACTCTCCTCTCGCACCCTCCGCTGGACACCGTATCTGGAGAGATGGTATCTCCCAAGCAACTGATTAAATGATAGATGTGTGTTCTCATTTTAGTTAGTACTAACAAACCGGCTTCATGCAATCTGAAAAGCAAAGGCACTTGACATTTTATTTAATTTTCTTCTGAATAAAAATAAGGCTTCTATCAGACTTGGCAACATAAGTAACTTACGTGTCGCCTCAAAGCCCTGGGAGGTACGTGCACCTCCGGGCCTGACGAGATGTGGCAGACGGGGCAGGAGAGCGGCCCCGGGGGGGGGGGCCGCGTGCACGCCGCCACCACGCCCGCCGGGGCCGGAGGGCGCCAGACGCAGCCGTGCGAAAGCCTCGCCTGCCAGCCTCCGAGTCCCTCGAGCACAAGCCCTGGGGACCAGCGCTGCGAGCCGCCTTTTCCCGGGCGCTATTTCACCATCGTCTCCAAAATAAGAAATTGCTGATGGTCACAAAACTTTACCGTCAAACTATGTTAAACATCAAATTTAAGATCACCTACATAATGATTCTCTAAACCTAAGTCACAGAATGAACTAATCTCTATACTTCACAACTAAAAATGCCAGACTACCACAGTCAAAAAAAAAAAAGGACTAAAAACTCAAATGGGAAGACACAGAAGTGGCTGGACACCCGCACTAGGGCCCGAAGCTCCAGAAAGCTCCCCTCCAGAAAAGCAAGTCACTCTCACGCGAGCCGGGGCCTCTCTCACGAGGACACGCAGACAGAGCTTGTGACGCGTCACTTCTCACTTGCTCGCTTTGCTCCAGCGACCGCGGCCTACGCCTGCACGGCCGGCAGAGGAACACGCCGCCGCCAGAGAGAGGATCCAGAAAGTAACCGCCCCTGGCCAGCCGCCCATCCCCACGCCGCCCTCCCCGCGACGGCAGCCGCAGCCGGGCTCCGGTGTCCCCGCCTTGGCTTGCCGAGACACTCAGGCACTTCAACAACTTAAAGTCTCGTTGCCGCATTTGGTACCAATGTGAGAAGTAATTCTATCGTCACTTTAAATAAATCATTCAGGTGGCAGCCAGGAACAATGTGTTACCTACACCAGTAACATTACACATATAAAAGCAGGCTTACAACAATTACCATCATCTTGATTAATCTTATGATTGAAATGTTTAATCATTCATTTCGCTTGTAATCATTATCTTTTATCACTGACCAAACATGCAGTTTTAATGTCCCCTTCTATTATTTATATTGGACATTTTAGGGTTACACTCTAAGGTTACATTACACATTTCATTGGAATTTTAGATAAGTCCTTAAATTTTAACAAGCCAGCTGTTATATTCAGGCTTGCTCCGTCTACATAAAGAAACCCGGGGGGTTCATACAAAATTAACACGAGCAATTACGTAGGGGACACCGGGGCCGACGGGGAGGCGCGGCGGACTCTCCGCGCGGCGGACTCTCCGCACAGCGGGCCGCGGCTTTGATTTCTCAGCCGCCCAAAGGCCGCGCCTGCTCGGAGCCCGCCACCGCGGCGGCAGCTGTCCAGAACCGCACGCCTCCCGCACCGACGGCCTGGCCGTCCGGGCGCTGCGCCCTCTGCCGTGTTGAACTCCATGTGCAGGTACATTTGCCAACAGATCCTATCAACTCATCAATTCCGGTTTTGAAAAATGAGCCGGGGGGGGGGGGGGGGTGTGTGTGTGGGTGTGTGTGTGTGTGTGTGTGTGTACACACACGTACTCCTGAGGATCTAGGCTTTTGCCCTGAGGGTGCACCTGCTTTCCCAGCAATTCGTTCCGGAGACCCCGACACCCACTCTGGCCGCTGCCTGGCCCGGACGCCGTCCAGGAGGGCCGCCGACACCCAACGTGCCATAGACTGAGTGAGCCCTGGTGCCACCCCGTCCCCGCCCACTCAGGAGACACGACGAGCCCACGGCCTGCGGGACGCAGCCTGGACACCGAGAGCACGCGAGGCCGCCTGGCCCCTCTTCCTCTGCCCCCTGAACAGGCCAGAGAGGCCTTCGCTCCTTCCTGCAGGCCCGCCGGCCCGGAGGGCGCTTCCTCCCGGCCAGGGCAGGGCACGCCTGCTTCCACCGCCCTCCACGCCCCCGTCTCATTCCAGGGAAACACGTCGGTTAACCCTTCTCCGACCTGAAAACCACCACGCCCCACAGTGAACAGCCTGCCACAAGCGCCCCCGTGGCGTGGCGTGCCCTGCGCTGTCCCGGCCCTGTCCCCGCCCTGTCCCCGCCTCCCCCCGCCCCCGCTGTGGTGAGTCCCACGCAGCCTGGTGCCGGCGAGATGCAAAACAACGGTGAGATTTTGAAGACTGGCCTGCTCCAAAATCAACAGGTCCCCCCAGCGAGACGCAACGTGGCATGCCGCCCCGCTCCTCCCCCACGCCGGCCCCTGCAGGACGCGCACTGAGGAGGAGATACCTTCACGAACGAGACCTGCGGGTGCTCTCTGGCCAGCTCTGCCATGACGTCGTTCATCTGAGCGCACTGCGGGGCCCATGGCGCCCAAAAATGGACCACAACGAGGGACCTGTAGGGAAAGAAAGTGCAGTTTTAAAGAGCGGGTCTCTTCAGGAATAAGCAAATACTGACCCAGGAGAAGTGCCCGAATCCTTGTCATTCTGCTAGAGTTTTGTTGCATGACACGCGACTGAGATACGAGGATGTGCAAGGTCTCAGGAATCTTTTAGGTGAGTTTTCAAGTTACTGATAGTCCCTGACTCCACACCTAGCTCTCACAGTCGCGTGAGCCGAGGGTCTCCTCTGACACTCCGCACAGGCGAGCCCCACGCCCGCACGCCGGGCCCCCCCGGCAAGCGATGGCCGCGGAGGCACGGCCGCTGTTAGCGGTCCCCTTTTCAGCAAGGCGCCGTGCGGAGCGAGCACAGCCGTAACCATAGGAACAGGAGTAAAACGCTGAGAGTGACAGCACACAAGCAGAAAGCAAGGAAAAAACTGAACTGCTCCTCACGAAGACATGCCTTTTATATTACGGTACAAAAGATGTTTCTAAATGGATAAATAGTTCTGTGAGCAGAACTATTAGTGGATGGCTCAATTGTTGATGAAATTCTTAAATAAAATGATCCTGACGAAGGAATCTTTAAGTTTACCCTCACGCCCAACTGAAAAACTACAGTTTTACAGAACCGTACGTTCAAATACAATCCCAAATGCACCCTGTCCCACTCCCCAAAAAAAGAAAAACCTGGGAAGTGAGGAAGAAAACGCAGGTTCGGCGAGTTGCGCGGAGAGAGGGACCCGGACAGCCGCACAGGGGCCAGAACCCAGCGTCCTGGCAGCAGGGCACAGGGGCTCGGGGCGGCGCCGCGGGGGCTGGGGACCGCGGGGTGCCGTGAGTTTCTGGCTCGTGCCCACCGGCCGGTGGGGGCAGCAGACACGACGCATGGACAGGAGCCACCAGCCAAGAGGAACGGGGCAGGGGGCGGAGCTGAAAGGCCGCTCGGGCAGGTCCGGAGCCCAGACGAGCCGTCTGCACGGGCTCCGCGGGCTCGGGACCAGGAAGCAGCCTAGGCAGCTCACGCTCCTCGGCGCAGCAGCCCGGGCCAGGGCCTCCGCGGCTCCTCAGCGGTCACGGCAGGACAGATGGAGGGACAGGGACCAAAGGCACAGCACGGGGAGAGAACCTCCCGGGAGCCAAGAAGGAAGGCTTGTCCACCATCCCATGGGCGCAGGGAAGGACAACTAGCGACCGGGGAGGGGCACCCCCGCCGCGGTGGGCCAGGCAGGTGGCTGCGCAGGGCGGGCCCGCAGAGCGCAGCCGGCGGGAACCCGCTCTCCGCGGGGGCAGCCTGCACACGGAGCGGGCCAGGCAGAGGCAAAGACAGGCTCAGGGGAGGGGGTTCAATCCAAGCGGATCTGGACGGGTTATGTTGTGAGGGGGCCCGTGCCAAGGGACGGGGGAGGCCGGGGGAGGCGGGCAGGCTGCGTGCTCAGGCCTCTGAGGAGGTGGCGGGGGAGGGGGCGAGGAAGGATTGTCCTGGAGAAGAGGGCCTGTCTCCTCTGGATGCGGAGCACAGGCGTCACGAATGGGCAAAGGCACAGGTGCTGGGGGGATGAACAGACGGAGAGCCTGGGAGATGCTTCTGGAAGTCCCGTTTCCCAGGTAGGTAGCAAGGCCATGGCTAAAACCAAGGAAAACAGCAGACGGGGCGGGGGCAGGGCTGATGCTGAGGGGAGGGTTCCTGGGGGCACGTGGGGCAGAGGGGGAGGAAAAGGAGAGACCCTAAAAAGGAAGACCCCCCCAGGCCGGAGCGGGCGCCCTGTGGGGCCCCCAGCCACGTGTCCCACCTGCTGCAGCAGAGCAGGGCGCAGCAGAGGGCGAGGCGGTGGCCTGGCGGGCCGGGCCGGGCCGGAGACGCCCTGCTTCTTCCAGCACCGAGCCGCAGCCCGGGCTGCCCTGCAGCTGTCTGGGACCCTGCACCCGAGTCCTGGCTGCCGGGATGCAGGCCAGGGATGATCTGCCCCGCCCTCAAAACCCTCCCACGTGGGCCTCCAGCCACCTCGGCCAGAGCCTCTGCTGAGGACACCAGGGCACCCCAAGACCTAACACAGGTGAGACAGCAAGAGAGCCCCCAAAGAGCCCATGCGAGAATGCTCACAGCAGCCTTGGACATAAAGGCCAAGCCCAAAAGTCCACAAACTGGAGAACTTGTTGTAAATTCATAGAGTGGCATGTCACTCAGCAATAAGAGAAACACCTACAACACGGGCGAACCTCAAAAACACACCAAACAAAATAAGACAGAGAAGGGCCGGAGCCCCGCGACTCCCTGACGTCAAGGGCAGGAAACGGCGTCCGCAGCGGCTGCGAACTCCCTGGGGCTCCCTGCCCTGGCTCTCAGGGAGGGTCGCCCGCGTGCACACACCCGCCAAAATCCGCCACACCTAATAATTAAGACCTGTGCATTTTACTGTAGTGGGTTAATGCCCCTTTTACCAGCTTGAAAAAAGATATTTCGGGTCATAACATCCAACGATTCCGAGGACAGAGTGACACAGCCTGCTGGGACAGTAACACTGGGCCCTTCCAAAAATCTCACGCTTTCAAGTGCCTGTCCTAAGAACATAATTACAGAGACAAAGGTTTACGTATACGAATACGTCCCTATTATTTTACATGGCAAATGAATGTAAAAATATACAGTACAATAGTTTTTAAGAGTCATATGACAAAATCTAAAGCCATTATGTCAAAGAATTTTTAATAACACGGGATATGATTACATTTTTGAAAAGTAAAATAGGTTACCAAACTTTTTAACAGTATGAACCAGAAAATAAAAAAACACATAAAACTTAAATTGCAATTACTACGAATGTGGCTTTAAAGAGTATTTAACTTCTCCTAACTCCCACATCTGTACAACAGCAGCATCCAGCACCCTGGGATGTCGGGAAGAGCAAACAAAAATATAAAAGCTCTGTGAAAACACGGAAGAATGGTATTAATGTTAACTGTTACTTTTTGTCACCCACATTCTCCTATTTAGGTGCTTAGCGTCCACGTCCAATTCAGCACGTGACACCTAACGCCATCAGGACTCGCGGCTGAAGCAGGCAGGAAGCTATCGCCTCTACGGACTGGGTTCCCGCGGTTCCCTCCGAGTCCTCACCGAGCGCAGGGAGCCCCGCCCGGGGGGGACCTCAGAGGAAGGCCAGGCCCGACCCCGCGGCTGGGATCTGGGATCGGGGCGGTTAGCGCTCCGTCGACGGCTGCGTCTGCGTCACCACAGGGCCCTGCTCCCCCTTACTCGCCTGCAGGTGACCCCAGCGGACATTACTCATCACCAGCGTGTTCAATATTTCACCAACAGGCAAAACCTGAATTACTCGGCACACGGTCATTAGTCTCCCCACTGTGGAGACCCCTGAGGTTTCAGCAACATGTAAACATGGAACATGCGATTACATGAGTTAAGAAAAAAATGCAGTTCATGTGAAATTCTAAAAGTGAAGAGAAGATTCAGGAGGTGGCCTTTAAATAATTACATTCACACAGGCTACTTAATATTCCTAAGCGCTTCCATTTCCGCAGGAAGCTGCTGGCGAGGCACCAAGTCCCATGTGTCCAGGGACACGACTGCCGTGGGAGAGAGACGGTGTTCCCAGTCACTTCAAGCACAGACCAGTGTCAAGAATACATCTAAGTGGTATTTACATTTAAACTTCTACCGATTGTGGCATTTTAAGGACTTTTGTGCTTAAAAATGAAACAAAATTGTTCAACAAAAAGCAAAACCGTGCTGCCCACGGTCAGTCCACTCACGGGGTGGGGAAGGGGGTCCTCACATGCCTGCCGCGGGACTCAGTCGCTGCGCGGTCGCCGCGCTGTCACCGCGCCGCTTTAAGGCGGATGGCAGGGTGAACCTGAACCCACCTTTCATCAATGAGTAAACGTTGCTCCCCCTCCTTTTTTAAAAAATATTTTCCAGATTACCCAAAAATATACCAAAAGAGCTGTGCTGGCTGACACTTTTAACCTCTCTCTCATCTGCGGCAGGCGCGGCGGACTCCAAGTCAGACAGGAAATGTCACCCCTCCCGCGTCCACAAAGGCAGCGACCTCCCGCCCCACGGCACCTGCACGGTCCCTGCTGCTCCTCTCCTGCCTCTCGGCACAACCTCGCAGCACTCGGGCCAGTCGCTCGCCCACCCGTCCTGCCGGCGAGCACCACGCGGCCACGGCAACTCGACGGGGCGACACCGAGACCTCCCGCGCTGGCACTGTGCGCTACCGGCACCGTCCCCCGGAACCCCCGCCCCGAGGTGGGCATTGCTCCCACCCACCTCGCGGCCGGACAACCGGAGGCTCGGGGTGCACTTGCCCAGGGTTGCCTGGCCAGTCCGCGGCTGAGCTGGGCGCGCCTCCCAGGCCGCCGACGCCGGACCTCCCTCCCACGTCACCCACCGGCCTCCCCGCCGGGACCCACCCAGTCCTGGGACGCAGGACCCCGCCAGCCCCACCAGGCCAGGTGCAGCGGTCACCGCGGAGCCCGGACTTGCGGGCGCTCGGGCAGTGCGGGTCCCCCCTGTAACTCCACGCGGCCCCTGGGCAGCCCTGTGGGTGTCCTTCCCAAGGGCGACAAGCACGTGCCCCCACGACAACGACCCCAGCAGGCCTCCCTGCCCCGCGGCTGACGACGCGGCGGGCGGGGGTCTCCGCGCCCCTCCCAGCCCCAGGCTCGGTCACAGCGCCGCCGCGCCCGGGGTGCGGGGCCGGCGGAGAGGGCGAGGGCCTGGGTCTGGGAGCGCCCGGCGGGCCGGGGTCCGGGCCGGGGTCCAGCCCTGGGCCGGGCCCGGGGCTGGGGTCGAGCCCCGCTCTTCCGCCGAGGCCGGGAGCCCGGGCCTGGAGGCTGTGCCCCCTGCCGCCGCCCGCGAAGCCGCCGCCACCGTGCCCATCACCGCTGCCGCCCGCCGCCCCGCTCACTTGGCTCTGAGGCGCAGCAGCTCCTCAAACTGCTGGGCTGAGCCGACCTCCTGCACCGCCGCCGCCGCCATGCTGCCGCCGCCAGACAGGAGCAATCGAGCACAGGCGGTAGCGGGGCGGGGCCTACGGCGGCTGCGCGCGAGAGCCCCGCCCCCAGTCCGGGGTTGCGCAGGTGCCGAGCGAGACCCGGCCCCCCAGGGGCGGGGCTTCCGGCCAAGTTTGGCTTCTGCGCCTCCGGGTCCTAGCGGCTGGGACTCCGGACTCCACGCCCTCCCTGCGGCTAGCTCTGCAGCTGGGACCGGGTTTGCGTGCGTTGGGAGTATCAGTTAAGGCAGCGAGTACCTACTTATACATAACAAGCCGAAACCTTAAAGTGAAATGACACCAATGTGGGATGGAGTGGCAGGTCAGGGACCGGGAGGTCGCGCGTCTCGAACCTCAGCACTGATTGGGGCCTAGGGGACCCCTAGCCCACCTGTCCGGCCACCTGCGCCGGCAGCGCCACCCCTGGGCGCAGACCCACGGCGCACCGTGACCTCGGAGCAGCGAGGTCTGAGCTCCGGCCTTTGCTTGCTCCCTTGCCACCCCCGGATGTTGACTCTCCAGGTTATGTCCTTTCCCCTTCTTCCCAGGCCACCTACGCTCTCTCAGGCCCGGTCCTCTCATCCATGTCCTGGGTGCCCCCCTCCACCAGGGAAACCTCCAGGCAAGCCCCTCTGATATGCTTTGGGGAGGGGGCGACTCCTGTCGGAGGTCCTCAAATCACACCGACCTTCCTTGCAACGGGCTGCTCCCCTTGCAGCTCCCACGTTACTGAAGCCACGCTCCCGCCCTGGCACAATGGACCCCCCTGGACAGCCCTGCACCCGCTTTGAGGGCCTGCCCTGTGGAGCCCTCCCTCGTGATCAGGGCACCTGTGCCTCTTCCACCACGTGTACATCTCACCTAGTACGTGCTCCTCTCCTCCAGCCTGGTTCTCAAGGGCAAGAACTGTGTCTGTCCAGGCGCCTGCAAAAGAGCCGGGTGCACCGTGGGTGCTCACTGTGTGCACGTGGTGGGGAAGCGGGCTCGTGGAGTCTCAAAGACTTAGTACAAAAAACGTAGTCTAGCTCATTAATAACGTTTATAGTGATTGCATATTGAAATGATAATATTTTGGGTTTTGTGAAATTATTATTAAATTTACATCGCTTTACCTTCTTAATGAGGTTACTAGAAAATTTTAAATTCCGTAGGTGACTCATTGGCAGCTCACTTTGTATTTTATTCTTGGCCGCAGTGCCACAGTGACCGAAAGTGGCCGAAGGAGCCATGCATGACCTGTGTGCCTCACCTTGATGTTACTGAAAACGGTAAAGTACAGCATCTAAGAGGCAACAGGAGAACTACGGGAAACTGTTTTGTATCTTGACTGTGATGGTAGATACACGAACCTAAACACATGATAAAATTACATGGAACCAAGTACACACACGAGTCCCCGGAAAACGAGGGGGGTGTGGGAAAGATGCGCAGACCGTCTGAGCGTCAGCATCCTGGCTGTGAAACTGCCCCAGTGTGCAAGCCGTTATCTTAGGAGAAGGCGTGCACGGGATCTCTCTGCGACATGTGACTCTGCAATTCATTATTTTAAAATAAACAGGGTACTCTAAAAAAAAAAAGAAAGTAAGTAAAACCTAGAGGTTACTATGAAAAAAAATGCAGTAGGAGGGGGGAAAACACCGTGTTGTAAAACAGGATTTTACGCCAATAACCCTTTGCAACAGAATTACATTAAATGCCTAAGTATATATAGCTGAATGTAGCGTTTAAAAAGGTCTTGACAAGGATGTGCCCTGATTGTAGGAGAGCTCGCCCCCAGATTGTGAAAATAAGCCACTTTCACTTTTTAGGTTATACACATCTTCCTGTCATTTGAATTTTTTCAAAGAGCAGGGACTGGCTTTGTAATGTTTAAACTAATGAAACTGTAACGCACCAGGGCAATGTGCTACGGGACTCTTTAAAAAAAAAAAAAAAAAAAAAAAGCAGTAATCACCTCTGTACTGTGGCTGCTTCAGAATGCTGACTTTTCCCTTTCCATGGAATTTGCTGGAAGCAGCATATGCCCCAGCCACAGAACGACCTTCCTCCCCACTGAGCTGGGGAGACGCCTGGAGAAGCCTTCCTGTCCTGCCTCCTGCCTTTGCACTTGTCACTAGACAGGCCTGACATCGGCAGGTGACCTCTGAGCTTTAAAATGCTCTCACTTAGGCCACAGAGAGCACCCCACTCAGGCCAGGTCCCTTTGGGGGCAGTCGCATCTGAGTGGCAGGTGTGCAAGGGTGTATACAGGTGCGCAGTGCGGCTCCCAGGCTGCGCATGCACGCGTCTGTATTGACCATAACTGTGTCTTCCAGCCGACACGTGAACACACCGCTGCCCACCCCGCCATGAAGCCTAGGGAGCTGCCCAGGCCCGCGGCAGGGAAGGGCGAGCGCCAGGACTCGCCACAGAGCCTTCCCTGGGGACCTGCGGCTCTGCGGCCCTCAGCCCATCCCCTCACTGCTGACACCCTGGAGAGGGAGCCCTCTCTCTGTCTGAGCTAGTTTGGGCCCAGAAGAAAAATCTCGTCATTATCACACGGCACTGGCTGGGCCTGTTCGCGAACACCCTGGGCCTGGCTTCCCCTGCTGCTGCTTGAAAGCTCAGCAGCACAGCCAAGCACATCGCTGGGGCTGCCTTGGCCTTGTCTCCAGCATGGGTCCGTCCCAGGCACCGGCATTCTGCATGTTGGCACCACTGGGCCGCATCCTATCCCTCCCTGGGGCCAGGGAGCCGAGGGGCACTTCATCTAAGTGCCCTTGGGTGGAGCTGCTCCTGGGCTCTCCCCAGAGGGCAGCGCAGCCGCCCCACCCTGCCTGGGAGCTTCCCCAGGGTGCTCTGTGGCCCTCAGGGTGGGCGGTGGGGGGTTGGGGGTGTAGCTGGGGACAGGGGTGCTGGGGCTCAGTGTCTGGGTCCTTGGGGCTGAAGTCCTGGCCTGGGAGAGCGAAGCTCCAACCAGGGCTGCAGGGCCTCCCGGGCAGCAAAGGAGGGCCGCCGATGCCTGCGGACTGACCCCGTTTTAAAGGAGGGGGGGCGTGTGACAGGCAAAGACACCTAACACTGCTCCCCTATGCAGGCAAGGAGACAGCGGAGCCGCCTTCCGAGGAGGAGCCATTCATTCCTGCAGCCGAGGGTCGCTCTGCCCAGGCACAGCGCTGAGCTCGAGGTGGGCACCTGGAGCCCAGCGTGCACAGGAGTGGCAGTGAGCGGAAGAGGGGACTTGGCATGAAGTCCCAGCAGGCGGGGCCTTTGTAAACCCTACCCCAGGAGCTTAAAGACACAGGGGTTCCCGAGGGAAGGATTCAGACAACACGCTTAATGGGCAAAGCTTGGCACCAGAAAGTGTTGTTATTCAGGTAAAGTGGTCAATGTTTCCTTTCTTGTAAGAGGGACCCTTAAATTCCAATTACTCCGACCCCGAAGACCATCTGAGAATAACCCCAACTGGAGGGAATTAGCTTCCTTAGGAATTTCACTGTTAGGAGATTAATGGAGCCCCCTGCAGAGCAACTGTAAAACTTTAAGTACAGTAGATTTGCACCTGAAGGATACATATTTTAATTTCTGTTCTCAAGCTGTGATAACATCTCTGGAGCTACTATAAAAAGCACAAATGAGCACCCGGCGCGGCTTCAGGGAGCCTGCTCACAGAGCTTCCTGGGAGGAGTCTGCACCCCACTCCCCCGGCCAGCGATCCACAACGGTGGCCGGGGGACCAGGGCCCAGGCTTGTGGCCAGGGGCGCCGTGACTGCTTCTGGGTGCCTGGCTGGGAAGGGAGCCCCAGCAGGCTGAGCGAAGCCCGGAGCCCTCTCCCTGGGCTCAACTCTCCGAAGCCCACCCCCTGCCCCAGCCCTGCCACCAGCCCTGGGCCTCCCTCGCTGCACCTGCCTGGGTGCAGAACGCAGGAACCAAGAGGCAGACAGCCTGTGTCCCACTCCCAGAAGCCCCGGGGAAGTTCACCCCCCTGCCCATCAGCTCGGCGGGGCTCCAAGAAGGGGCCTTGGGAAGGCTGTGCCACGAGCCACGCCAAAATGAACTGGACGCTGGGGCCAAGCGAGCGTCCGGTTCTCCTTCTCCTCAGCCCCGCGGCCAGCCTGGCAAAGGGACACTGCACCTGTCACCCTGATAGCCAAGGACGCGTCCCAGTTAGGGAAGTGGGAAGAGCTGTGGGGGTTCCTCTGTCGACCCTTAGGAGCCAGGAACTTGATCTCGCCCCAGGTCGGCCAATTTTCCGGGTTGCCTTCCTTACCAGGAGCTGCCTTCATTGGAAGGACTATGTATATGCCGGCTATAAAGGTTGTTTATGCTGTCATAGCTAGATTTTTATTGGTTGTATTTTTGCTGCACTTGCTTGAAACATAATTATTTTCAAAGAAAAGAAGAATTACATATCCGGTGAACTAAATAAAACTCATGTTTATTAGGGACCCCTGACAGCTCCTCAAACGTGAAAAAGGATCTTGACGCAGGAATGGACAATTTATGTGCAAGGTTATTTGTAAAACAGATTTCCAGGCAGGCTTCATCTGGGCTCCGCCAATAAAAATACATTTCATTTCTTTTCAGACGCGTGTTATCGATGGCTTCGCAGTAATCCGGCTTCCTGGAAGGAGATAAAACCACCTGGATAAGCAGGTGCTCACCGCCCAAACGACCCGGGGGTGGGGTTGAATGTTTTGGGGCCGTCTGCGGGTGGCGCACAGATGTGAACACATCCCCTAGGAAACATGTGTGTAAGAAATGTAGTGCACGGATCTTAATCCCATTGCTGCAATCTCCGAAAACTGTTGAGTCGAAGTAACTTTTAAAGGCGATTGTTCACGGTTCACCAGGAACGGGTTCACGGGCAGAGCGCCTGCCCGCCTTGCCTCCCGCGGGCACGCTGGCTTCCAGTCCCCCGGCCCGCCAGGCGGGGGCAGGTGCGGGCCGCAGCGCCGCTTCCAGGCTGCGGGCGGCGCGGCGCCTCTGCCGGCCGGAGGGCGCGTCCTTTGTTGGGCGCTTTCTTTCCGCCA